CGTGCGCGCGCGTGTGTTTTTAAATACGGGGCTTCACTTCTGTGCGGTTCAATGTTACAACGCCATTAAGTCACAGTAGCAAGACGAAAAAATAAGAAGGGAAGGAGGAAAAGTCCAGCGTGCGCGGACCCAGAAAAAGGATCTTCCCGGCTTCTGCAGCTGACAGAGCTGTTGGGGGCGCTTGGGCGCTCTGCCCGCCAGAGTCGCAGCCCAGCAGCCCCCTTCCCGAAGTCCGGGCGCGACCAGAGTGGCGCCGCGGCGGGGGGATCGGGCGGGCCCGCCAAGGACTTCAAAGGCCCGGCGCCGCCGCCGCCCCCGCCCGCGCGCGCTAATAGTACGGTCCAAGGGGGCGGCTCCTGGGGCGCGGCTCCCGCGGCAGCTGATGCGCGCCCCGCCGGCCGGGAGGCGGGAGCCAGAGACCCCAAGACCCGAGCCGCCCGGCGCCGCGGGCCGGGCCCTGAGGAGGCCCCAGGAGAGGGATCTTCCCCGCGGGAGTCGCCGGCGCGGGGGTGGCCGCGACCGCACCGTTCGAGAAGGAGGACGAGGAGGAAGCGGCGTTGCCTACCGGCGGAGAGGAAGCGCTCCACCCGGGCCCCCGACGGCGCTCGTTTAACCACATCCGCGCCTCCGCTGGAAACGCTTACAGGCGTCTGTCACCCGTTCCCTCCATTTTGAAAAGGAAAAAAGGCTCTCCCCCTTCCCCTACTCCTAGGAGCTGGAGCCAGAGGAGCCGCGCTCATGGCGTTCAGCCCTTGGCAGATCCTGTCCCCAGTGCAGTGGGCGAAATGGACCTGGTCCGCGGTGCGCGGCGGGGGCGCCGGAGAGGACGAGGCCGGAGGGCCAGAGGGCGACCCCGAGGAGGAGGACTCGCAAGCCGAGACCAAATCCTTGAGTTTCAGGCAAGTACACGCATCCCTGCCAAGATGCAGACGTGCTGCCATCCATCCATCTGCGGCTCATTCTGTGTGCGTGTGTGTGGTCGCTCAGCCGCGTAACCATTATCATCGCAACGCTGCGTCCCTACCCGTAGCAGGGGCCCCGCTGTGCATTCGAAAGTTCAGGATGTTCTGTCCGGTGTTACCTTTCCCCCGTTTCAGTATGAGCTCGATTCAGAACCTAACCCGGCATCTGCAGTCTTTCCGCATCCCGGTCTGCTTCAGTCACTTTCTCTTAAGCTTTGAGCCCCGCGCCCCCGCCCCTACACACACAGTGTCACTGATCACACCCGTAGAACTTGGGGCCCTCCCTGTGGGGAAGAAGTCGCTCCCAGGCCCTCCTGGTGTCCCTGTGTGTCCCGAAAATGCAGCCTTGGTAAAGAAGGTCGCGTGATGACAGGCCCCTGGCAGCTGGTGAGAAATGGTGGTCTTTGCTGAGCTGTCACCGAGTGACTGAGGAAGGCAGGTGACCGTATTCTCAGCTTGGGGCCGAGTGAGTTCCAGACAGGTAGAGGCCTGCCTAAGAAAAAGGGATCGTGGCGAGAGCTGACTTAATTTTTAGGAGGAGGGGGCAATCTTAATTTTTTAAGCCTATGAGAAGGGGTTCTTGTTAGAAAAGGAGTCTGTTGAAAAGCGTTTTTGGGGGGATATCAGAAGAAAGGATGACCTCGGAAATAAATCGTGACGGAGAAAAGCTCAGGAGGATGGAGGAATATCAGGGAGATGGGATGTCAGGCAGAAGGCCCAGAAGGGCCCAGCAAGAAAACCCCATGGTGAGCTCCCACAGGCCAGTCCCTGCTGGGACTAGTGGGTTGTAAAGTTAGGCAAAAATGCTGGACTTTAGCCTCTGTCCATACGTAGACTGTAAAGGGTGTCGGAAATACCGTTGAAAGTGGTAATTCCTCATTTTTCCCCCTTGGCAGCTCGGATTCTGAAGGTAATTTTGAGACCCCTGAAGCTGAAACACCAATCAGATCGCCTCTCAAGGAATCCTGTGATTCATCCCTAGGATTGGCAGGACCAGGGGCCAAAACCCAAGGTAAAGAAAGACTTTCATTTTCTGTCTCTTTTGTTTAAAGTTTTGAAGATGTAAATGAGGAAAGGAGGAGTGTTAATTTCAGGCCATTTAAAAAGCTTTGGATTGAGTACTTACTAGGAAAGTTGTTTTAAAGCTTCTGGCTTATTTGAAATGTTTTTGTTTGCTTTTTAGGAATATGGTGGTCAGAGGCTTTCTTCCTAAGTAGTTTGTGTATTTGCAAGATGAAATTATCATTATCAGATATTCCTGCTGCGCCCTTCCCCCCAGCCTCCCCAAAACCAAAAATATGTGTGGTAATGCAGAGGTGGAGGGAGGTATGTTTAAATTGGCTTTGGCTATTTCTGAAGCTAAATCACTTTCTTCAGGGGTGTGTGTGTGGCTGGGGACAAAAATTATAGGTAAGAGTTGATTTATTTAGATAGAAAGGAATCTTTGAAATTGTTCACCTTTCCCCTCATCTACACAGGAATGGTGGTGAGCTTCTCAGTCTACCTAAGAAAACCTGGCACAGAGATTGTCTCCTAGCCCCCTCAGAGCTCAACCTTGAGCCTGTCCTTCGTCTACAAAAGCTTCTGTTGTTCCATTTAATTAGTAGAAACCTTTCTTGTCACTCAGCCAGTTTCGAGTAAAATTTCACCTGTCCTGATAGAATCTGTTTATCCACTTAATAGAGTACGCTGTGATTCAGCAATGAAAAAATCTTGCTGTCACTAAGCTAACATTATGGAGGGAGATGGATCTTTTAAAGGTTAAGCAAGATATTTATGTCAGCTTGTCTTAAGTATTATGGAGAAAAATAGAGCAGTGGAAGGAGAATAGGGTGTATGGGGTGGGAATAGAGATGCTGAAGGGTAATTAGGTGGAGCCTAAGGGAACTTGAGCAGAGCCCTGAGGGGAGATTGAGGGAACAGCCTTGCAGATTCTTGGGGAGAGAACCCTTTCTGCAGAGTGAATGGTATCCGCAAAGGCCTGAAGCAGGACCATCCTGGGATGGGGCGAGGCCCGGTGGTGGGAGGGTTTTGAGGACCAGGAAAGAGGCTAGTGTGGCTTGAGTGGAATGACTAGGGAGAGAACAGTAGGAGCTGAAGTTAGCCAGATAAAGGGAAGTCTGGAACATTTTGTAATGGCTTAAAATGACAGAAATGTATTCTCTCACAGATTTGGAGGCTGGAAGTCCAAAATCAAGGTGTCAGCAGAGCCACAGAGCCATGTTCCTTCCAAAGGTTCTAGGGAAGAATCCTTTCTTGTCTCCTTTAGCTTCTGGTGGTTACTAGTAATTCTTGGTGTTCCTTGGCTTGTGGCAGCATAATTTCAGTCTCTGTCTTCATTACATGACAGGCTTTTGCTGTGTGTTTCTGTGCGTTCACATGACATTCTTTTAAGGACACCAGTCAGTGGATATAGGGACCCTCCTAATCTTGTATGACCTCATCTTAACTTGATTACATCTGCAAAGGTACTATTTCCAAATAAGGTCACATTCACAGGTATGGGGAGTTAGGAACTCAACATATCTTTTTTTTTTTTTTTCCTTTTAAAGAGAGAGTGAGTACTTGAGGTGGGAAGGGACAGAGGGAGAGAGAGAATCTTAAGTAGGCTCCACGTTAGCCCAGAGCTCCACACAGGGCTTGATCTCACCACCCTGAGATTATGACCTGAGCCGAAATCAGGAGTTGGACAGTTAACCAACTGAGCCACCCAGGAGCCCCTCAACATATCTTTTTGAGGGACACAGTTTAACCCACAGCAGAGGGCTTTGAGCAGAGACATCATGCTTTGACATCCCTTTTCAAAGAGTAAGTAGCTGCTGTCTGGAGAAGGGACTCTAGCACATATGTCCTTGTTGAGTGCTTTCTCTTTTCCATTATCTGTCACTGTCACCCTACGATGGTAGATAGAGCCAGCTTTCAGTTATTCTCTTAACTAGTTTTTGACCTAATGATGACTTTTTTTCTAGCAGTTACCGTACATTATGGCTTCGTGACTTCCTCACAGGTTGCTTAGGGAAGTCAGGTGCTTTGTGATAGACTTCGCTGTGGAGCTGGCATTATTGGTGAAATGATCCCCACTTTTTGTGAGTTGATTTTGCTTTGAATCGGGAACTTTCTACTGCTCTTCCCCTGCTGAAAATTTAGCCATATTCTCAACTCATCCTGGTTGCTTTTCATTATTGTTTTTGGAAGAGACTGCATGGGAACAGGCAAGTTTATGTACTGGAGCACTCGAGTGTGGCACTGAGCCTCACAACACAGAAGATGCACTTCTTCATAGCTTCCCTTTTTCTCTCTTAAGATGGCAGATCAGAAAGGAGATTTGAAAGCTGGAAAGAACTATTTTGAAGCTTTCCCATCAAATTTAAATATGCTCACCAGACATGTTAAGTAGCTATTTGAAAGTCTCTTTAAATTGCCCTCAGCTTGGGCGGCCCCTTCCTCACCATTCTGTCAGCTGGTAGTCTGATTCATCTTGACAAATTCTTCGCTAATTGCGTAGAGGCCTGTATGGCTCAGGCCCCCAGAGCCATAGAGACCCAATTGTTTGGTCCTTCCTGTGCCACTGACTCTTTTTTTTTTTTTTTTTTTTAAATATGTTTTGGTAACTTCTAGCTCATACTCTATTTCTTACTCTCTCTAAAAGGTTTTCTTTTAGAGAGTCTTGGACCAGGGAAGCCCTGTGGAGTAGTAGATCGTGACTGAAGGCCATGTCTTTGGCAGGGGCTGAGGGAAGGGTGTACAATCTGGGAAATTACCGCTCCGTATTAAGAAGACTTTCAATTTAGAATCTTTAAATAATAGGATGATTGCATATTAGCCTGGTAGTATCCTGCCTTTGAGAACTTCTGCCCAACTTGTAGAAGGAGACTTAGTCCAGAGTCTTGTTGATGGCCTTGGTATACATGCACAGTAAATACAAAAATACTGCCAAAGCACAGGTCTAACCAGGAACGGTATCAGTGGACAAAAATTCCTAGAGACTTATTTCATGTTGAAGTCTTAATTTCTAGGCTTGGATGGTCCTCTTTCTCCTGAAATTGTTAATTGTTTGGCTCTTGACAAAGTTAGTTTTTCATATTTCTGTGGTTTCAGGACGTGGTCTTTCATATTTCTGTGGTGTCAGGACGTGGTAGGGCAGCAGGTAGTTTATATAAGACTATATCTTCTGGAGGGATGATTTATGAGTTGTTAGTCAGGGATTGAAGTTAACATATGTAAAAGATCCTGGTTTTCTATATATAATGGTCCTCCAGTGTATGGGCTGTATCCTGTATCCCATACCCGTGGCCCACCAAACTCCATCTGATTCTTGGAACACAGGGAAACATTTGATTTTCTACGTCTATTTGAAGTTAATTTTCTTTTTCTTTTTTAAGATTTTATTTATTTATTTGACAGAGATCACAAGTAGGCAGAGAGGCAGGCAGAGAGAGAGGGGGAAGCAGGCTCCCTGCTGAGCAGAGAGCCCTATGCGGGGCTTGATCCCAGGACCCTGGGATCATGACCTGAGCCAAAGGCAGAGGCTTTAACCCACTGAGCCACTCAGGCGCCCCTAATTTTCTTTTTATTGGAAGTTTTTTTGGGGGAACTTACAGTATCCGAACTCTGTATAATGCTTCTGGAGACAGAGTTATATGCCATTTTAGATATTAAAAGGTAGATGACCTTGCGGAGATTTTTTTAAGCCACAGATAGAAGCTGGTTTCAGACTAACTGCTAAAATAAAACTTGAACCAAAGAAGTGCCTTGAAAATACTAGAGTAGTGGCTGTAATATTTGGGCTGGTAATTCTGTGTTTTCTGTCTTCCTCCCCAACAAAGACTGTTTAAGCTGCTGCTATTACTGTTCCTTCTCTTTGTCTGGGGTTGTGTCAGTGAGGAGACATCACCTGTGAGAGGACTTCTGAAGAAGGTTCAATCTCCGGTTCATACCCCCTCCCCCCCCCCCCCCCGGCCCCCCCCCCCCCCCCCACCTTTTTTTGGTGAACTGTGGTTTTGTCCATCGTTTTAGATTTTAAAAGTGAATGTCCTCTGCTACTAGAAGTCTCCTTACCACACACAGACCTTCATTTATAGGTTGTTACCTTTTTTTGAGAAAGAAAATCTTAATTCATGCTGAAGCTCTCATATGCCCTTGGAACAACTAGTTAAATCTACCCTGTTTGATGTGTTAATTAGATGCCTCAGTATTTCAAAGACATAGGATAGTTCCCCTGAAATAGAAGGAAAGATAAACAGGATCAATCTGCTGATATTTACTGCTGGAGGCCTGGGGGGAATGTGAAGTAGTTTGTTGACACACTTTGGTAGTCTAGATCAGGAATCAGGCTGTGGCTCATAGACCAAATGTGGCCTGCTTCCTGCTGTGGCCAATTATTGTTATGCCTGAGAGCTGAGAATTATTTTTACATTTATAAATGGTTGAAAAAAATTGTGCTGTGTGAAAATTATATGAAATTCAAATTTTAGGGCCCATAAATAAAGTGTTATGGGAATGCAGCCACACTTGCTCATTTAGGTGTTGTCTCATATGGCTGCTTTTACACTAAATTAGCAAGGTGTTTCTGTTTGTCTTTAGGTAGGCTCCACAACCGCTGTGGGGCTCAAACTCACAATCCTGAGATTCCGTCATATGCTCTATCTATTGAGCCAGCCAGGAGCCCCTGAAATAGCAAGGCTGAGTACTTGGAACAGAGAATGGCCTGCAAAAGCCTAAAATATTAACTGTTTGGCTCATGACAAAAATGTTTGCTGACCTAGTTCCACACTTAAGACAATTTTGATAAAAATCTAAAGCCTAAGTAATTTGGGATAACTTTATAAAGAAAGCAGCAAGGCAGTTGCCTGGGTGGCTCAGTCGTTAAGCTTCTACCTTAGGTCATGATCTCAGAGTCCTGGGATCTAGCCCCACCAGGTTCCCTGCTCATGGGAAATCCTGCTTCTTCCTTTCCCACTTCCCTGCTTATGTTCCCTCTCTGGTGCTATCTCTGTCAAATAAATAAATAAA